CGCGGTGCGCGAGGGGCGCGGCTGTCGCGCGCGCGGCAGCCTTGCGCCATTCTGCGTCGGAAGAGAACAAGTGAAATGAGCCTGGCGAAAGACCCAACCGTGCGCAGTTGTGAATACCGTCTTCGTGAGTAACGCATTCGGTGGAGCTCCCGATGGTATCACGAAGTGCTGTCCTGGGTGGAGGAAAAGTATGTGTGTGCAGCCACTGGGGCTTTCGGTGGAGCTCCCTGGAGCTCCCCACGGGGCCGCGAAACGCTGTCCTAGGTGGGGGGGCGCATGCGAGTGCAGCCGCTGAGGCCTCCGGTGGAGGTCCCTGTGGGGCCGCGAAGCGCAGTGTTGGGCGGGGGAGATGCATGCGAACGCCGTCACTGGGGCCTCAGGCGGGCCCCCCTGCGGGGCCACGAAACGTCACGAATCGCTGCGCTGGGCGGGGGAGGCGAATGCGAACACCGCCACTGGGGCCTCAGTTGGAGCTCGCTATGGGGCCACGAAGCGCTGTCAAGGGTGGATGGGACGCATGCGAACACCGCCACTGGAGCCTTTGGTGGGGCCCCCATATGGGGCCGCGAAGCGCTGTGCTGGGTGGAGGAAACGCACGCGAACGCCGCCATTGGGGCCTAAGGTGGAGCCCCCCATTGGGCCACGAAGCGCTGCGCTGGGCGGGGGAGGCATGCGAACGCCGCCACGGGGGCCTTAGGTGGAGCTCCCTGTGGGGCAGCGGAGCGCTGTATTGGACGGGGGAGACGCGTGCGAACGCTGCCACTGGGGCCTTAGGTGCGGCTCCCTATGGGGCCGTGAAGCGCTGTGCTGGGCGGGGGAGACACATGCGAACACCGCTGCTGGGGCTTTAGGTGGGGCTCTCCATGGGGCCGGCAGACGCGTGCGAACACCGCCATTGGGGCCTCAGGTGGAGCTCCCTATGGGGCCACGAGGCGCTGTGCTGGGTGGGGGAGACGCATGCGAACACCGCCAGTGGGGCCTTCGGTGGAGCTCCCTACTACGGGGCCGCGAAACGCTGCGTTGGGTGGGGGTAACTCATGCGAACACCACAACTGGGGCCTTAGGTGCGGCTCCCTATGGGGCCACGAAGCGCTGTAGTGGGTGGGGGAGACGCGTGCGAACACCGCCACTGTGGCCTTAGGTAGGGCTCCCTATGGGGCCATGAAGAAGAAGAAGAAGAAGATGATGATGATGATGATCATGATGATGATGATGATGATGATGATGATGATGATGATAATGATGATGATGTGCATGATGATGATGATGATGATGATGATGATGATGATGATGATGATGATGATGATGATGATGATGATGATGATGATGATGATGATGATGATGATGATGATGATGATGATGATGATGCTGTTGCTGATGATGATGATGATGCTGATAAAGATGATGTTGATGATGAGTATGATGATGATGATGATGATGATGATGATGATGATGATGATGATGATGATGATGATGACGATGACGATGACGATGATGATGACGATAACGGTGGCGACGAGGAGGGCACAGGGAAAGAGGAGGGAGGGGGAGGAGGAAGGAAGGAAATAAGGAAAGAAGGAAGGAACGCGGGGCGCTGTCTTTCCAAAGCGAGGACCCAACACCACAGGATGGTTGGGGAAAAAATGCAAGACACAATCCGCGAATGGCAGGGCCGCCGCGCGCGGCGGCTTTGAAGAACCACCCTGTGTGAGAAATCGCATCATCAGCATCATCATCACCATCGTCATCGTGATCGTGACCGTCGCCGTCGTCGTCGTCATCATCATCATCGTCATCAACATCATGGCCGTCATCACCATCACGGCCGGCATCATCACCATCAGCGTGATCATCACCATCATCGTCATCGTCTTCGTCACACCCCTCACACGCCTCATGGCCCCATAGGGAGCTCCACCCTGGATCCCGGTGGCGAAGTCCGCATGGCGGCGCCGCCAGAGTTTGGCATACCCGTCACACGCTGCGTGGCCCCATAGGGAGCCCAACCTAGATCCCGGTGGCGCAGTCCGCATGGCGGCGCCGCCCCATGCTGGCACACCCCTCACACGTTTCGTGGCCACATAGGGAGCTCAACCTAAGGTCCCAGCGGCGCAGTCCGCATGGCGGCGCCGCCCCATCTTGGCACACCCTTCACGCGCTTCGTGGCCACACACGGGGCTCAACCTAAGCTCCCAGAGGCGCAGTCCGCATGGCGGCGCCGCCCTATTTTGGCACACCCCTCACACGTTTCGTGGCCACACAGGGGGCTCAACCGAAGCTCCCAGTTGCTCAGTCCGCATGGCGGCGCCGCCCCATGTTGGCACACCCTTCACACGTTTCGTGGCCCCATAGGGAGCTCCGCCTAAGGTCCGAGTTGCGCAGTCCGCATGGCGGCGCCGCCCAATTGTGGCACACCCCATCACAAGCTTCGTGGCCCTATAGGAAGTTCCACCTAAGGCCCCAGTGGCGCAGTCCACATTGCGGCGCCGCCCCATTGTCTCACACCCCTCACACGGTCGTGGCCCCATAGGAAGTTCCACCTTAGGTCCGAGTGGCGCAGTCCCATGGCGGCGCCGCCCCATGCTGGCACACCCCTCACACGTTTCGCGGCCCCATTGGGAGCTCCACTTCAAATCCCAGTGGCGCAGTCCGCATGGCGGCGCCGCCCCATTCTGGAACCCCCTTCGCACGTTTCGTGGTCCCGTAAACAGGGGCTCTAAATACATCATGCCCCCCAGTAGCTGCGCCCGCATGGCGGCCCCGCCCCGTTCCGGCACACTCTTCGCGCGCTTCGTGGCCCCATGTGGAGATCCATCGAAGGCGATACGAAGAGCGACGGTATTCACAACTGCATATGATGGTTGGGTCTTTCGCGCTAATGTTTAATAATCCGTTCGGCTTGTGTTTATGAGTTGCAAGCTGACATAACTTGATGTCCCTGTCCCGGCATCCACATTGACGGATTGTTTGTCGTCCTCGTCGCCGCCGCCGCCTCGTCGGCGCCTTTCCCGCCGACATCATCATCGCCGTCGTGCACGTCGGCCTGGGTTTCGTCCTCGTCCTCGTCCTCGACCTCGGTCTCGTCATCAAGTCGTGGTGGGGCGGGATCAGAGGCATGCTCCCCCTTGGGGGGAGAGCCTGCCCCGCCCGGCAACACGCAGATGATCACAATTCTGTGATGGTGACACATTCCAATATCACCAGGATCTCCAAGTGCCCCGCACGGGCTCCAGAAACGAAGGCCGCCAGATCCGGGTGACAAATAACAGCGCGCGCATAATGTATCGGAGGCCCGCGAGGATTAATTTGGACAGTGGGGACCCCTTTCATTCGCATTCAAAGTTCGAAGCAATCTGGTCCGATTTGGGAACGTCAGGACGTAGCACTCCCATCGATTTGCGGTGTTGAAGTCTCGGGATTGGTGTCCTGGCGCGATTTAGGTTTGTCAGGGCGCAACAGCTACTTAGATGTGCGGCGCTGGATCAGAGGAGCATGAAGTATTGACATTGATAGTTTTTCAGATTTCCAGGTTTTCCTGCTCTTCCGCGCGGGCTCCAGGGACGAATGGTCGAGCGCATTCCGTCGCGCAGGTTCTTTGCGTGATGTTCGCGGTGCATGTCTCGCGCATCGGAACGCCCTCGAGGATTCCAAGCTGCATGCTGTGTTGCTCTTGGGGAGCCCGCGAGTCGCAGCTGTCGTGGCGCTGTTTTCGAGGTGGCCCTTTCTCGAGTAATGTTCGCGGGCGCAACGCGCGGCGCGCGGCGCGCCCAATCGCGCGCGGCCAATCGCGCGCGGCACGGCGCGGGAATCAGCCGGCCGCGCCCGTCGGACCGCCCGGACATTATTTCTTGATTGTAGAATGTGTCAGAAAACGCTGCCGTTTTTTCTGTTTTGCGAAAGCGGTTCCGGGATCCAGAATTTTTCAAAAAAAGGAACACGGTTTTTATTTAGTTTATTGTTTCAACACCAAAAAAAGGGTTGGAATGCGCCTGCCGCGCACGACATTCGAAGAATTCTGAACTCCGGAATTTTTCAAAATGGATTTCGGAGTTTTTCAAAACCGATCCTGGCAATTTTCGAAAACGTATTTAGCATTTTTCAAAAAGTAGGCCAGACATGTTCAAAAACCCTTCCGGACATGTTCAACTGCACCCCCAGAGAATTGTCCAGAGTCGCGCGTAATTTGCATTGCCGGGTCTTTGGGAATCCGCCGAGGCGCGCGGCGCGCGGCGGCGGGCGATTGGACGGTGCACCACCGTTCCCCCGGTGTTCGCGTTCGGCAACGAGAAAGGGGGTCAGCAAATGACGAGCAGTCCTTTACGGGTGACCACTCGATTGCGAACGGGTGGCCGACCAGCGGCGCCAGCCAGAAAAGACAATTCTCGACGTAAAGTATACCCCGCGCGAAGGTTGTTAGAAACCCCGGATTCTCCGGAACGTATCAATAGCACGTTGTGTCAATTTTCGTCCTATTGAAGTCTCAGGAACGGCGTTGTGGCACGAGTGAGGATTATTATGCAATTTTTATTCAGTCTGACACGCCCCGGAATTATTATGTTATTGTAATCACGTGCGAAAAAGTTTGAGGCAGGACATTTTGCAACATCATTGATGCGCCTTTGGTTTACACTGGCTCTTGTTCCGCGTTTTCCTTGTCATCCTCTCCCCTTATTCAGAGGAGCGTGAAGTATTGATACGAATAGTTTCCAAGATTTCCAGGTTTTCTTGTTCTTCTGCGCGGGCTACAGGGACGAATGGTCGAGCGCATTCCGTCGCGCAGGTTTGTTGCGCGATGTGCGCGGTGTATTTTTCGCGCATCGGAACGCCCTCGGAGATACTGAACTGTATGCTGTGCTGCTTTCGGGGAGTCCGCGAATCGCAATTGCCGTGGCGCTGTTTTCGAGGCGACCCCTCCCTGTGCCGCCGATACAGACATCCGCCTTCTCCCCTTCCGGCAAAACATAAGAGAAAGAGAGAGAGAGAGAGAGAGTCTCCCGGAGGTCCCTCGGCGAGCTGATGTGGGCCGCCCAGCCGACCCGGCCGCCGGCCGCCCCCCCCCCCCCTCCCCGTGGGGCGTGGGCAGCGTTTTTGCTCGGCGGCAACACTAGGGTGGGATAGGCTCAGGGGGGGACGCATCGACCCCCAATCGACCATTGATCGCCGATAGGGACCCGATAGCTCTGCCCAGGCCAAGAGTGTGCGGTTTCGCTGTCGGGAAGCTATCGCCGATCAATCGGCAATGTATCGCCGATTTCGCTTCGATGTTTACCCCCTTGGGCCACCCTGAAGTCCGCTTCGGGCCCAGTTGGGGCCCGCAAAAACAGCCCACGGCTCGAAGTACCAGACTTCCTGCTGACGCCGCGGGAACCAGGTCGGGCGAAATGGGGTATAGGGGGATGAGGAATTGGGCGGAGTACGAAACTTGCTTCATGCAACTGCTGGGTTCGGCCCCGCCGCTGGGCGCTTGTCTCTTGTCTCTATGCATTGGCGCTGGGAGGCGCCGGGAAATCCAGCCCCGCGAGCGGAATTGCCATCCACCCATTTCGTCCGACGCGGTCGAGGTCTCAGACGGCCCGCCGAGTTCTTCGTCCTCCTCCTCCTCCTCCTCTTCGTCCTCCGCCTTCTCTCAGGTGATAGTCGCGTGACATGCCACGTGCGCCACCGCGTGGGCAAGGGGCTCAGGGTCGGGTGGCGCCTCCCAGAGTGCACGGCACCGCCTGAGCCTCAACGCGGCCAGCCGGCCGGGATCCACCGCGGCCCCACGACTCGGAGGAGAAAGGGGACGAAGGAGGACGACCGAGGGGGAGGAGGGAGGGCGCGCGCTAGTCCGTAGCCATTTGGACTCGAGTGTTTTGCACATTCATACGGCAGTCCATATTCTGATGCTGAACGTTCCTCGGCACCGTCCACTGTCTAGTTTCACCCACCTTCGCTCCCAACGGGCTTCCAGAAGGCGAGTGTTGAAACAGGCACACGCATCCCAGTCAGACATGGGCATGCGATAGCCTATATGCTAAATGTTGGAGAGACAGCGGCACAATGCTCTCAATTACATCACATAACCCAAGGTCCCAAGGTGCTCCAACTAGTGGTCCTTGTGTGGGTTCAACTGCATCAGAGGCCGCTCACTAACTTCTCACACGCGTCCGCGGACATGTCGGGCTCCATGACAGCCAAGAAATGTCTTTGAGCGGCCCTGCGGGTGCCCAGCATTCGAAAGATATTCTCACAACCAGAAGGCATTCTGCGTGACATGGGGTTTACTTCTTCTGCAGCTGATTCCGATAGGAATTTGCTTAGGACCAGCCTGCGTGAGACTGACAAATCTGCTCGAGCAGTATTGGTGGCAAGTAGTGTATTGTGTCACTTGTCGCGTTCACCTTCTGCCGGCAGCGATTGCGATTCGGCCGCAAAGAAGCAAGAAGGAGTTGCCCGTTGGCCAGTCTACAGGGTTTTTTGTCCAGGCCATGTAAAGTTCGATGTAAACGTTGGACTTACGATGAAAAACGAGTTTTCAACAACAACAGCAACAACACAACAACAACAACAACAACAACAACAACAACAACAACAACAACATCAACAACAACAACAACAACGTCAGCAGCAGCAACAAAAACAACAGCAGCAACAGCAGCAACAGCAACAATCACTTTAAGACTGTTCGCTCTTACAAGCACGCGTGTCTTGCATTCCGTATACCCCAACCCTCGATACCCGCCCACTTCGTTTTCGATTGCACCCCCTTTCGGGGGGAAAACTTTCCCCTGTCGGCCACTGACTGAAGTGCGAAGAAAACTCGAGCGAGAGCGCCGTTCCTGAGTTCGGGGGCCTCTCTGTCCAGGGGCTCTCGGAATACCTATGGCGACATATCGAGCGGGAGCCCTTGTCGCCGTGTCCGGGCTCCACCAACTTGCCGAAATTACGGGTAAGTTTCGAGCGAAAGCGCCGTTCTTGAGTTCGGGGGCGTTCTTGGCCAGGGGCTCTCGGAGTAAATCGTGAGGAAGTATCGTGCAGGAGCCTTTGTCGTCGTGGTTGGGCTTCCGCCAAGTTAGTTGAGTTTCGAGGAAGTCTGGAGCGAGAGCGCCGTTCCTGAGTTCGGGGGCCTCTCTGGCCAGGGTGTCTCGGGGTAACTTGTGAGGAAGTATCGAGCGGGAGCCGTTGTTGTCGTAGGTGGGCCTCCAAGGGCCCACATTTAAGACGCAAGCCAACGCTCGAGCGGGAGCCTCGCTTCCAGAGAAAAGTGCAGCCGGCGTCGAGACGAGAGCGCGCGGAACCGCTTCCGGAGACCAGCAATAATTATTCATTGGAAATGAACACTCAACAACACCACCACCAACGACAACAACAACATCGCAAATCATGTTGAGGCTGCTCGCTCTTACCCGCTCACGTGCCATTCAAAACGTATTCCCAATCCCTCGATACCCGCCCTCTTCGTCTTCGATCGTGCCCCCTTGGGGGTACATTTTTTACCTGCAACGTGCATCTCGTGCAGCCCCCAGGGGAAGGGAGGACGGATGCAAGGGGGAGGGAGGAGGATGGCGCACGAGAGAGAGAGAGAGTAGCAGGAGGGTGCTTGGAGCAGAAAGCACGTGGCAAACCCGACGGGCAAATCGGGCAGGTACACGCTGTCAGGCGGGTCGGGGATGCGGGCCATGGCGGCCAGATCGAGCAGGCGTGTTACTGAAGCGTGCGTCCTGCATGAATCGCGAGGAAGTCTGGTGCGACAGCGCGATTCCCACAGAAATGGTGGGAACATCCACAACGAGAGCGTTAGCCCTGAGTGCCGAGGGCGGGGCGTCTGAATAAATTGAATGGAGTCCCGCGCCGGAGCGCGATCTTTGCATACGTTGTGAGGAATTCCCGCGCGAGAGCACGATATGGGAATAATTTATAAGGAAATGTCCAGCGGGATCCGCTGTTGTTGTAAATTGGGAACCAACACATTAATTCTCAGACCCAAGATCGCCCCTGCTGAAATATTGGGTGGGTGGTTTAAATGGAAACACATCATGTTTTCGGGAGGGGGGGGGACAACATTTTTCTTCAGCAACGAAAGCAGCAACAGCAACAGCAACAATAATAACGACATCGTCGGGGACGGACCGGTTTGGCTCAACACGGTCAAGTTCCGAAGTGCGTCCCGTTCGGTTTCTTGCGGCTCGGCGTCGGAATGTTCTGGTTCGGCCCGGGTCGGTACGTAGTTGTGATTATTGTTGCCCCGTTCGCCCCGTTTCGTCATGTCTCGGGTTCGGGTTCGGCCCCGTTCGCCACGACGCGCTGGGGTTTCTTTTCATGGCAAGGAATTGTTTTTGAAGCTCCGGGACCTACGCCCAAGGCCCCCGGACCGATTCCAAGGGCTCTAGGACTTACACCAAGGGCTCCAGAGCCGCCGTCTCGCAGCGTGGGGAGGGGCTTCGGCGCGCGAAGCGAGCCCGACGTGCACGGCGCCCAGACGTGGGACCGCAGCAGGGCGGAAGGCCGCGAAGAGGGGCAGGGTGGCATGGGCGGCGCGCGCATGCGCGGCGTGGTGAGCAGCATTTGCATCATCCTGTGCGTTGTCACGTATAACCCCATGCGCGCCTCGTACCACGATTGGGTCATAGACATCAGCACAGTGCTGGAAGGCTGGGGCGCAGTTATGCTGTCTGGCACCAGCAACCTTACTCTCGATGGTCAGGCCGCCCAACAACGTGATTCCGGACACCGCTGGGGTATCCAAATGGGATGCCAAGGAAAGAGCGGCTGACCAACGCGGCGCGCGGGGTCAACTTCTCGTCAAAAGCGACCTGTCCACACAGTCCTTCCACGCGATGATGGGGCCCCCGTCTGAGCTCCAAGGGCGAATCGGCGGCGTCCGACTGCAGGCAAAATGCATTGGCACTGCGATTGTCGGCGCCTGCTTCGCGCCGACCCCGGTGCAGAGATATGGAACGATAGCTTGCAAACTCACGAAGTGGCCGGATGACCAGATTGACAAATTGGGCGTTTGAACTGACATTTTTGTGCGCGGCGGCATCATCTCTGGCTTTGGACTTTTTCGAGATAGAGACGGTGTCGCCCAGGTGGGTCGGGGCATCAGCCGCGGTGAACGTCGGCCCCAACTTGGAAATCTGACTGGTCTTGAGTTCAGCAAGTTGCGCGAACGTAACCAGTTACTCATTGCGCCAGCGAGAAGTAGAGAGCAACCGACGCATACTTCGGGCCGACCAGAGGCCAGAGCCGCATTGACCAGAGAGCTTTCCCACTGACAGCTCGACTGCAACAGCGGGCCTGCGCACTTTGTATTTCTGGGGGAAGGCGCTACAAAGCATGAAAGCCCACGGACGTAGGGACCACGTGCCCGCGGGGCTCGACCTGGACATCAGCTTCTTCCACCGCGGGACCAGGAGACAGCGGGGGCTGCGACCTGACCGAAGCCCCCTCATGAGATGTCTGCTAAAAGGCTACAAGAGGAAAGATCTTCTCGAACGCGCCGACCAAGACATCTCGGCAGTGGGAGAAGCCTCCGTTCAAAAGCCCTTTCTGCAAGAATCGCCCGATGCTTGCCGGGGCGTTTTCAGTCTGCGCGTCCGCCAGGTTCTCCCCGAGGCTCTCCCCGATCAGCCACTGTGCGTAGACGACGTGCATGGGCGCGCGCGCGAGCGCCGCATGCGCGCGCTGGGCAGGAGGAGGCAGGCGAGGGAGCAAGTGGTGGATTGCCAGGGGGGGGGGGGGGGGAGTTTTCTGGGCGTCTGCGAGGACTTAATGGAGATGACAGCCAGCGCGAAAAAAGATTCGAAAGCAATGCCCTTGTTGAGACGAACGCTGACCTAGCGGGGCAAATCTGGGACGCCTGCGCGCGGCAACGCCACTGGTGCACCCGCGCATGCAGGGCGCCCCGGGGGCCCCGAGCGTCGGTCTCATTTCAGCCCGAGGACCAACTGGAATGCAAAACGCCTTGGGGGGGGAGCTGGGCACGGCCGCAGCGGATCGAGGATTAGCGGGTGTAAGAACAAATTGGGAAGACGAGCTC